GGTAAGGAGGAAGCATAGTCTTAAACAGAAGCTGCAGGTACACCACCAACCTGTTCATGTGTCTAACCGTTTTTCCCCACTCGGCGACACACCCGCCAGGGATCAAACTGTGGTAATTGACAATTCTATTCTCAGACATGTGAAGCTAGAGACACCGGCAACCATAGCCAATTGTTTTCCAGGGGCCAGAGCAGGTGACACTGAGGGAAATTTAAAACTGCTGGCTAAGGGTAAACGTAAATTCTGTAAAATTATAATTCACGTCGGCAGTAATGACACCCAGTTACGTCAATAAAATAAATATTGAATCGGTGTGTAAATTTGCCAAAACAATGTCGGACTCTGTAGTTTTCTCTGGTCCCCTCCCCAATCAGACCAGGAGTGACATGTTTAGCCGCATGTTCTCCTTAAATTGCTGGCTGTCTGAGTGGTGTCAGACATTTCTATAGCTGACACCTTCAAGCTAAATGAATAAATACCACTACGGTCAAGTGGAGAAATACACAAGTTGTACTCTGAGGTGAAGAGTCCATTATACAGGGTGGGCCATTTGGCAGATCAGTGGTGAAATCAGTTTATGCTTTTAGAAATGCTAGAGATCCAAAATACAGGTTGGGCCATTTATATGGATACACCGTAATAAAATGGGAATGGTTGGTGATATTAAAGTCCTGTTTGTGGCACATTAGTATATGAGAGGGGGCAAACTCCTCAAGATGGGTGGTGACCATGGTGGCCATTTAGAAGTCGGCCATCTTGGATACAACTTTTGTTTTTTCAGTAGGAAGAGGGCCATGTGACACATCAAACTTATTGGTAATGTCACAAGAAAAACAATGGTGTGCTTGGTTTCAACATAACTTTATTCTTTCATGAGTTATTTACAAGTTTCTCTTTGTTCACAGCCATTGACATGTCAAAGAGGTTAACACGTGAGGAGCGGATCGAAATTGTGTTGATATCTGGTGAACGCAGTAACCGGGTCATTGCAGCAGATTTGTGTCCAGAATGTGGACGCAAGAAAACTGTCAGTAATGAAGAAACATCAGTGGCTGTCCTAGCTTCATTCAGCAAGATCCCACAGCGTAGCACTCGCCGCATGGCACTGGAGAGTGGCATTAGTCGAACATCCCTTTGGCGGATATTAACTACTCACAAATGGCACCCTTACAAACTCCAGCTGCTGCAGCGTGTCAACGAGGATGACCCAGATCGGCACACAGAATTTGCAGAATGGGCAAAACAAAAATTGGAACAGGACCCTCAGTTCATGCAGAAGATTTTGTTCAGTGATGAGGCAAACTTTTATTTGAATGGTGAAGTTAACAAACAAAACCACCGCTATTGGTCTGACACTAACCCACATTGGATGGATCCCTCCAAGACTGTTGGAACAACAAAAGTGGTGGTTTGGTGTGGTATATGGGGAACAACGATAGTGGGTCCATTCTTCATCAATGGAAACCTCAAGGCCACTGGATATTTGAAATTGCTACATGATGATGTGTTTCCCTCTTTATGCACTGAAGCTGGCACGTTCCCTGAGTTTTTCCAGCAAGATGGTGCACTACCACATTATGGGTGCCAGGTCCGAGCATTCCTAGATAAACAGTTTCCTGGAAAGTGGATTGGTCATCGTGGGCCAGTTGAATGGCCCAAGTTCTCCTAATCTGACCCCCTTAGACTTTTATCTTTGGGGTCATCTGAAGGCAATTGTCTATGGTGTGAAGATACGAGATGTGCAGCACCTGAAACTACGGATACTGGATGCCTGTGCTGGCATTTCTCCTGCGGTGTTGCTATTAGTGTGTGAAGAGTGGGAGAAGAGGGTTGCATTGACAATCCAACACAATGGGCAGCACATTGAACACATTTTATAAGTGGTCAGAAACTTGTAAATAACTCATGAAATAATAAAGTTATGTTGAAACCAAGCACACCATTGTTTTTCTTGTGACATTACCAATAAGTTTGATGTGTCACATGGCCCTCTTCCTACTGAAAAAACAAAAGTTGTATCCAAGATGGCCGACTTCTAAATGGCCACCATGGTCACCACCCATCTTGAGGAGTTTGCCCCCTCGCATATACTAATGTGCCACAAACAGGACTTTAATATCACCAACCATTCCCATGTTATTACGGTGTATCCATATAAATGGCCCAACCTGTATTTTGGATCTCTAGCATTTCTAAAAGCATAAACTGATTTCACCACTGATCTGCCTTTAAATCAAAATTGTACCATAAAACTGTAATTGTACCACATCCAAGACATGCACGAAGATAAAAACAACCAATACATGATTTTCGGTCTCACTTTATTTAATGATGATGTGAAAAGTAAAGGCTGTCCATAACATTCAGACAACAAAAGAAGAATGTTTTTTTTTCTCCAAAGTCCCCCCCCCCCATAACAACTAATGGCTCCAAAAATGTTCAGGTGTTCCAAGTGTGATACTTATTTTATACAACTTCTTCATATCTAGACCTCATCTGTACATAACATAGTTACAGATACTGTAAATTAAAAAAAATGACTTCCAAGTATCCTTGTGACATTTTGTGAAACATTTTCCTATGTAAAAATGAAAATGTACGTAAAGATCTTTACATATACATATATATAGTTCTCTATTCTTTCTGTAATAAGAAAACAATTTATTGCCCCTCTTAAACATGTTGCATTTAACATAGGTTTTGTTTATCATTTTAAACTCTTAATTGAACTTAATGCCATGTGATACCACATATCAAACCGACAAAACAGTAACAGTATGGACCTCTGTGTTGTTCCACTTAATATATTTGTCATATTACTATATTTTTGGACATGTATGTTTTGTGTTCTCCAGAAACCCTGATGATGACACATACAACGATATAATATATATACGTACATGTCACTTTGATCTTCAAACTTAAAAGACCTGTGGCAAATACAAATCATCAGCATGATGTTATTCATTACAGGAATTTATGAGCCCTTGACCTTCCACGATTGCATCTGCTGAACAGTTTTTCATTCATGTTCAAAAGAATTGAAATGGTTCATAAAAGAATAAAAATCAGGGCACCTTACAAAATATATCGAACAACAACTGATGATCTGCATTTGGTATTTTTGAATGGACTAAAAGGAAAAAAAAGTAATTTGATAAATTGGTAAATGCCAGGAGTGGTTTATTAAGATTGATCGTTTGCTACTACTTTCACTTTATTGCCCTCGGTGAATTGTTGCTAAACCAGTAGCATATTCGATATGATGATGTTGAGTTTACCCACTGAGAATCTTGGCATTGACGTGTGTGAGCTAATCAAACAGGTTAAGAGAACCTAAATCCATGAGCAAATACACGTAAAACCAAATCGCAGGTGAGAGGATGAAACTACAGAGTGGATTTGTCACAACAGTTGCAAAAACAGAGGTAACTCTGTGAATTATACATTTTATTTCATGCCGTCTTGAGAAAGCCAAATACCAAATATTCCATACATGGACACCATCATCAGGGTATCAGCAAATTGTACACAATCACATTTAATGTAATATATAAAATGTGCGGTTGGTTTGTTTTATCTCCTGAAGGAAGAACCAACCCTCTGACAATGTCTCTCACTCACTTGTCAAGTGATCGTGATTCTCTGGTTGGCAAAGGTGCAGGAGAAGCTGTGACTCCTTGGGTATCTGTGCTCAGGGTTTTCCCCGCTCCTGTACTAAGCAGGGGCTGGAAGGGGAGGAGCTCTCATAGGGGGGGGAGTCACCGTGATATGTCCCCATAGCAGGCGGGTCCCTGCTTGGTTGTCTCTTGCTCCAACTCGGTCGCAGGAGAGATCCACTCCAGCTGAGGTGGAGTATTTGCCAAGTACTCCCAAACTGTCCCGTTCACCGAGGCATGGAATTGAAATTAATCTATGACACGTTGTACACTTTACAGATGTGCGGCCAATGTTGTGGGTCAGCGCATTTACCACACTGTGTATGTACTGTGGGTCCTGCAGGCTACAATATAAGACAACAGGCACAGCGCTCAACAAACGCCTTAAAAACTAAAAACCAAGACACCAATGGTGAAACAATATGCTGAGGACAAACCTTCTCACGCTCGATAAAAAAGTCCTTTGTTTGTCCGGAGTCATTACTTGCTTTTCTCCTGCATGAGGAAAGTTTTACAAAAAACTGTCGATGACCGTTGTGCTCAATGCGGTTCAGCGGCACTGAACATTACATTTCCATAGCAACTGAGGTATGTTCACTGTTGCTAAGTGTGAAGTGGGTTTTCATGACACTCGATATTATCTGTGAAGAAAGCCCTGTGTCTGTGCTGTATCACTGTGTCCAGCAGTGGCGGCATCACCGTCTTGGAACTGTAAGCTACAGTCGGTAGGGGCTTATTACTTGACACTCCCTTGTGTTTACTGTCTTTACTACCACTCATGGAAATTCAGGTCAGCCCGCTTAATCCAGACTAGCTGTGGAACCGGAAAACCTACATCCTTTCCACCATCACTTCTCGAGTTTGATCTCTTCTGACAAAGCAGCTTTTTATTCATTTCAGAGTCTTGTGCCTTTTTTTGTGCCATTGACTCCCCCATCGCCCTTAACTGTGCCGGTTAGCTGTAAGGGCTAGATCGGACAGACATCTTAACAGTCTATGGAGACCAATCTGTGGGGATCAATAAGACCAGGCCCGTCACTAAAGCAGTGTCTGAAAAGCACCCGATCTCATGAGGCGCTCTCATATGAGCGTGTCTTTGCGTGTGCACTTCTTGGCGTATTAACACACATAAACGACATCTGTGGAACACTCTCATGGCGTTCTATTTTCTAACATACGCAGCCTTTGAGACTTTTTTAAAAGGCATAGCACTGATATTCTGTATAACATGCTTTCTGAAGACATATTGAGCAGACTGTAAAATATGAAGGCTTATGCAAAGTCTGATGTGAAATCTCTGATGAAAACAAAAAACAGCGGTACAGATAAGCAAAGTGGAAAAAACAAAATAAAATAAAAAAGAACCAAGTTGTTTAAATTTAAAAAAAATGGGCACTGGTGCATTTTGATATTTGGTGACTCAGACTTTGATGTATCTTACTTTGCTGCCCACAAGCTAATTGATTAACAGTTACAGAAAAATCTATATCTCTCATACATATGTCTAATTTGTAGGATGCCATGTTTTATACGCTTTTCATCTGAAATTGTCATGCCTACCTGCCTCTGTTATAAGCCTCACGCTTAGAACCAACTTAATTGTCCATTCACAGCATATACAAAGCTTACAGTACATCAATGTTAAAAATGATGATATTTACATATCTGGACAAGATTGGGAAAGGGTAAAGCAGTAAATTTGATGATTTCCTTTTGTTGGATTTTGCAGATTCCTCCTCTCCAAACCATTATCCAGTCACTGAAGCAGTGAAATACTCAAGTTAGATGACAAACTTACGTGTTGCTGCGAGCACATACATACAACAGATTAGGAACAGAAACAGACAATCCCCTCTGAAGCAGATAAGGCTACACATCATTAGGGTTGGTCCACCACAGCTATTGGGGTGTCGCTATATTTGTGCATGTGTGTGTATTTGTATATAGCCTATCTGTGTTTGACTGTGCATATGTGTATATGCCTAGGCAGGCGGGGGGGCAAATGGACAAGGGGATGTTAATTAAAGGAGTTTTTAAGGGTCATCCAGTGCTCACTCTGTCTCCTCATACCCCATCCTGACTGAGGATATCAGTTTACAAGAAGACCAAGGTGAAGAGGTATGAAGAGTGAACCCCCCTCCCCCCCCTCCCTTCTCTCCCTGTCCTCCTTGATCCGAGACAAAATACGCACTTACGCTGATGATATCAGTCTATTGTAGAAAAAAAGAATCACATATGTCTCCTCTGCAAAGAGCCAGGTGGGGGAGTGAATGAAGCTCACAGGCCAGAGACCATTACCCGGTAGGAGGGGGGCATGTGTCTGTGCCTTGGGCTCGAACCAGGGCTGCCATTAGGGCTGGTGCAGCTAGCATCTACCCCTCCTATGGAAGGTAAGTAGGCATGATGGAGGATGGGCAGCTGCAAAGACAGTCGACGCTGTATGCTGCAGATAGAGAAGGAAAGGAACAATGTCAGTGATTACAGCACATTTACTGAAGTATTATGTTATAGTCAGCAGTCTGCTCTTTCTTTTCTTGTCATTACTTACAATATAAGTTCTTTGCATATCCCATGGATGCTGAAGAATGTGGATTTTTTTTTTTTCACTGACTTGAAATTGTTATTTCGGGCTGACAGATCACACGCTCCTTGTCCTCCACCTGCTTTCTTCTTTTTCTTGTAATCTGTTTGCCTTTTTTCATGTCAACTTTGATGCCCAAGCTTTTTTTTCTCCCACATGAGTCACAGTGAGTGTCTCTGGGGAAATGCTATTTGGAATCTCATGGAAACTCTTTGTAGAGCTGTGCCTTTTCTTTGTACACAGCTGTTTCAGTTTCTTTAGTCAGACTTTCTGTTTCTTTCTTGCCTCAGAAGTGCAGGGTTCTCTCTCACAACGTCTCGCAACGTCACCAATTTCTTGTCTTTTCCTGAAGGTAAATGTATTTCCGTATATAGAAATATCAGGGCGTAGCAGTATGGAGACGATAATCAGGCTATATGCAGATTGCACAAGTCTGTTGGTTCAGAATGATTCTGATTTACTGACATACCCACAGTGGTGAGAACATACGTTTCATAAATCTGATGGTAATTTTGCGTAAGCCGTTTTCTGCACGGGATAAGAACAGATATTAATAAATGAGAACCAATGTGTCTGTCTATCACGTTGGATCGCTTTGTTGTATAAATCTAACCAGGGCTGGATCATTTTGCTTCTATTAATGAATTTACCCCATTTTTACTCTTGCTGACCCTCTGCCAGAGTTCAGAGTCAGTATTTGTCATTTGCAAATTAGTGTCTTTGTAAGTTCAAATGTGCGTTCGCAGCTGTGCCCCGGACAGTGCACTTCATCTGCTTTTAGTGATTCCTCTTGCATGATTTATCTGAGCATCATATGGGATATGCAGAGCTAAATTCAGTTCATCTCAGGTTATCAGCACCAACCGCAGCAGTTTTTCCCCCCACAAATTAATTAACACATTAGCCATAAAGCTAGTGACGGAATTGAATTCCTCACTAAGCAGTAAGCATCTTATTTTTCATTAATTTTAGCAATGGAGCTCTTTCAGGCAGATCTGATCCTGGAAAGGCTTCAATAAAATGCTGTGTTTTAGCAATATGGCCATATGAGCTGGATGTTGCTGTCAATACAACAATTTTGTCACAGTCTGGAAGTGGCATATGCAGTGGTCTTGCTCGATTTACTATTAAAATGTTCGCTACACACTTTCACACATATCAAGTTACAGTGAGAAACTGAACATGGCGAACAGAAAAGATGGATCATAAAAGACTGGCATCTGGCATTGCACAGCTTCCCACAAGCCTTCAGCAATTTCTTTAATTGTTTTCTGTGTATTCTTTAGCATCCTCCTCTCTAGCTTCTTCTTCTTACTAAGCCCCTAATCCACCGTTCCTCTTTCCACCGTCGCTTCTGGGATCGTCTGACGTAAAAGAACATTTCATGCTTCCGCCTGGTGTGACAGTTTGCACCCTACCTCGCCAGAGCCATTGCCACTGCCAGCCATTTTCAAGAAAGTTACATAAGCATTTGGTTGTGTAAAAAATTAAGAGGGGCTAATAAGATTCAAGCTTGTTCTGCATTAAACGTAGTAAAATGTCTTAATTAGGAAAACTTAAATATTAATGGTCCTCAGGCCTTTTCAGTTATTCTGACCCGTCCTACTTTATGTGATGAAAACACAACAGCTTATGAAGGAATTTCGGGATATTTTTTGGAATATCATATAGGACACGGGTGCTACACTTCACAATAACACACCCCTGCATTTTTCATGCCACAAAATATTTATACAGCTCGATCTCTCTCTATTCATAACTCTTTTGTAACTTATTTATATTTGTCTCTTCTTTCTCTTCTCTTTCTCTCCCTTCATCTCTCTTCCCTCCATGTGATCAAACATTCATGTGGCATGGGAACAGCTCCAAGTGTTCCTTTACTTCTGTTCTCCTCCCTGTCTATTTTCAGAGCTGCTTCCAAAGCGGGCTGTAAATCAGTGGTTACATAAGCCTCTGCGAGTCTCTACCTTCTTCTTTCTCCCCTCCTTCTTATCTCTGCCTTTCTTATCTATCTAAACATATTTTTTCTCTTTAAACATCTTCTCTGTGTAACTGCCCTCTCCTCTGCATTGTATCCTCCTTGCCTCTTGTCTCCGCTTTCTTCATCCATCCATCCCTCTACATCCTGCATTCTTCTCCTGGTTCTGGTTAAACGTGTGCGGGAGGGAAACTTCTCAATGATGCATGAAGTGTCCCCCCCCCCCCCCCCCCCCCATTGATGAAGTTGACATCCCTCAGCTTTGCTGCCTTATGAATAATAAGTGAATGCAGATCTGCATTTGAATGTTTTGAGAGTTCATCTTCCTTTAAAAGTTGAGAAAACAAATCAATTACCTGAGTGTATATGCATGCAAAATGGACATGTGTGTTTTTGTGTGTCCGGCTGTAAGTAAGCTGCAGGACGTTCAGCATACTTGGAGAATACACTTGCACTCTGTGAGGTGATATGCATGTTGGTGGTTGATGGTATGTGCGTTGCGTGGGAGAGAAAAGTAGAGGGCCAGTCCATGCTTTCATAAGGCTCTGTTGCCAGAGCAACTGCCTGAGAGCTGCTGGTGGTTGTGCTACATGTGACATGTCGTCTGACGAGAAAGCTGACAAGACAGAGGGAAAAAGGGGGAGAGACACGGGAGTAGAGGGGCTAAGGAAATGGGAGATCTCACTGTTCTGGTGAGTTGATATCCTCGAGAGGACCTCTGTTTATTCTGGAAGGATCCATGGAGCCCCACTGCGCCTGTGGTTTCTGCTCTAGGTGGTTCTTCAGTATCGACTTTTCTCCATCTGCATGAAAACATGTGTAGACAATAAAGAAAATTGCAGGCTGTCACCTGGACTGTCATATTTTGTCAGTGTAAGTTGAAAATGACTAGGATTTCAAATAAGGCATTGGCCTTCAGTCCTAACATTGGGCTTTCCAACCGTGCAAAAAATAGCAACAAATGCTAATAAATCAGCTAATGCTAGGTGTGTATTGTATGTCAACACACACCTAGCAAAGTTAGTCTGTGAAGGATCATGTCAGCTCAGATGTCCATGCTCACTGCATATGCTTCATTGACACTAAGAAGTTAAACCAAGTGTGTTGACATTCAGTATGAAGAGACCGCTTTTGCATGATGTGCAGACTAGCGTTACAGATTAGTTCAAAAGGAGCAGGTGAAAATGGCTAAAAAAACTAGTCAAAAATTTCTCGCTCAACTATCTGCATGCTAGACAAATTACACAAGTCAGACTATGTTTTGGACAGAGATGCAAAAAACAAACCTGCTTTGCTCAAACTTTGAAAGTGGACGCTAACACTTGGACCAGATTCATTTCAGAAGTGGGGACTGGGTGATATCACAACAGAACAAGTGCACTGAGTCACCAGCTGAAGATGCCAGGATTCAAACCACTGGCCCTGAGGACTGAGGCTTAAGTGCTCTACCACCAAACACACAGCCACCAAAACATTACTGTTTGTGAGTGCCAGTAATCTAAGGCTATCTCTTTACAACAGGGAGAAAAACACTCCCGCTGCATTAAGTAGCACCACATGAGCCGTCTTCTTTCTTAAACGGGACTGGAAGAGAAAGAAAATGTATATCTAATGGTTTAAACCTGAGAAGAATTAATTCAAACGGAAATAATTGGATCTTGTGAGGTGAAAAGCAGGCAAATACTCCTTGTGTACCGTCCTATCATAGGGCAAGAAAATGTTTCAATGAAAAAATAATTTAATGGCATTTAAAGCCTGAAAATTCGCAAATATTCCACACGTAAAAAAACAAAACAAAAACACTGTAAAGTATAAAAGATTTTGTCTTTCTTTCAGTGCTGTTAATCTATACATAACAGCATTTAACTTATCATGCTAAAATCAGGCCATGGCTGTCAACCTGTCAGAAAACCGCACCTTAACTGTCATCTCCTGGTGTTCTCCAGCATCGCCATGTGCTTCTACATATTCATGAAGACAGCTAGAGCGAGGGAGAGGTGGAGTGTCGCGTCTCACCCTTTGTGAGTGAGCGTAATCGCTGTTGACACAGCATTCTTCCCTTATAACAGCCACTCATTCACAGCCCCCAATACATTTAGACCAGCTCTCTTATGAATACTGATGACTACAGTTAGAAGCCAGTGGTGATGATGATGATGACCGTCAAGCATAAGTAGAATGAAGCTGGGAAAAGTTTATGTGCCGATGATCTTTAAAGGAAGCTTAACTACCTGTGATTTTATGGTCAGAACGTGTGTCAGGCTGACATTTGTGAGCAGCGCCTTACGCGCGCTCTCTCTTTCTTATTGTCTCCATAAGATAGAATTTCAGCAACCCAGCAGCTGATACGTTCTAACCCAAACATAAAAATATTTTCTCATTTAGAGAAAACTATTTTTTCATATATACTTTGATCATCTTTTAATTTTTGAAAGGTTTAAAAGAAATTATTTCCAATAACCTACATCTTCTTTGACATATCTAATTTATTGGGCTCCTTTGACGATATAAGCGAGGAAGCACTAGAAAAGGCTGTGTCTTAAAATAGACCCAGTTTTATGAGCCCACACAATCTGAATTTTACTTCATTACACTGAACCTGATGTCAGCTGCCAGCTGCTGCCTCCACTTTCGACAGATTTTTTTCCTCAGCAAGTGTAAAACAACAGGTAAAATGATGCATTTTTATGAATTGAACTACACTGTGGGATCCATTGATTTGACCTTTGAAACCACGCATGCTAAAATAGACAAACTAAAATAAGCTCAGTAAGGAAGATTCACACTGTATCCACTCATCTGCCTGAATTCCTGGGCGTTCAAGCTGCTACTCTATTCCTTACATCCCTGTCAAACGTAACTCTGTCATCATCACACTGGCCCAATCATTTTTTGGGTAACTTTCTGTGAACCAATCAGCCTCTGTCCTGGCTCTTGTTCAGTCTCATTTGTGTGACCCACCTCCACTCCATTTCCACCAGTGATCTTTGTCCAGGTCTCCACCTGCTTCATCTCTGCCACCACTAGTGTTTTTCTTCCAGGTGCTCCCTTTAGGGATCACCACAGCAGACCATTTGCCTCCATCTCACCCCACCTCTGAAACAAGCTACATCTCTGCATACTTTCAAAAACAGAATCAAAACTTTTTTTGATCCAGGCTGACACGTAATAGATGTTGATTTTCTTTGCTTTGTTGTAGTTGCTGTTTTCAAAGAAATGTGCTACATAAATAAAATTGCGATAGCCAAAGCCATCCTTATATACATCCATGAATCTCCTCTGTGATCTTCTTTTCCTCCTGCCTGACAGCTCCATATTCAACAGCCACTATCACATATCTATATAAAATCTATCCTTGTATCCTCGGCACCGTCATATAATATCAATAAATAACTTAAAGTAATTTTAAAGCCAAACTATATTTAGTTTCAGACAGGAGGGCGTACACTTATTTTTAGCACAAACACAAAAGGCAGGGGTAGAGAATACGCTAAAACACACAAAAAGAAGCATTACACACATTTCTGTGTGAATGTGCTCATTAACAGCCATCAGTTCACTGCGTAACTATGAACTTTCACAGATGAGGAACTTCTCAAACAATTCCAACACGCTCTGCTCCCAATTGGCAGAATGAGCGCAGCTGTTGTGCTCTTTTACCTTCCCGAGCTCAGACAGATCCATTAGACACCCCTGAGAGCAGCTTTGTGCTGGCGTGTGCAGCAGACACGCTGGATCCGGCTGCTGTACATCAGCGTCACTCTGCGACTCTTAAAATGGTGCCTAATGCAAAGCGACGCTGCTGGGCTGTAACGATTCGCTGATTCAATTTGAGGCAGCAGACTTCATAATGTCTGCCATACATGCATCGTTTAAACAGCACAGGCAGAAGTTTGGAGGACTGATGGGACATGCATCTTTATATTTCAGCAAATTAGGATTTGCTCTTCGTGTTTCCATAAACTAGTCTCGCCCGATGATGACTCACCTCACCTGCTCCCAAACTTTTCTTTACTCTTATCTGCTTCTCGACTTTGTTTCACAGACACTAAACTACGCCCCAAACAAGAAATAATTAGGTATAAAACCGAGTGTACACCAGGGTTTGAAAGTGAGGCGAGAATGACGTGTGACTACAATATGTGCTAAATTTGACAAACAGCAGTGGAGCATACGTGTACTGAGGTGCTGTAGCTAATCTCGTGACTCATTACAGACGTCACAGATGCTCCTGTGTCCCTCGTGCTGACAGGTGCTCCAGCAATGGGAAAAAAAGAAAGATATTCCTTCATCCAGCTGCTCTAAAAGCAGAATTAAAATCCTTTACTAAAACCACTGAATATGGAAATGCACCGTAACGGTAGCAAAGAATTAGTATTAGATAACGTATGTGAGGATTACTTTGAAACTGAAGCCAGTTCAGGATTTTATGATAGTCCTGAAATTGTGATACAAACCACTAAAATGTAAATTACACTCGCTAATGTGTAACACAACGGAACCACAAAATGATACTAGCACAGTGCACGATCACAACATGATATCAAAGTGCATACATTACAACAGAACTAAACAAAAGCAGTTTTGATCTCTATGGCTTATTTAAATAACTTAAATAACTAACTAGTTCATGCACTATAGTGGCACCACTGTGTAAAGAGGCGTGGCCTCTTAAAGTGACTTACAGATTAGGGATATCAAACTCATTTCACATCATCGGACGCTTAGAGCCTACGTTGATCCCAAATAGGCCAAACCGCTCAAACTCCACTTTCTGTCACTGAAAAGTCGTTTAACTGCACATTCAATCTCTGAGATTTCTCAATATATGAAAAAGTGGTGCACTTTCATCTCAGCGCACCTCAGTTTTTTTTAAATGATAAAAAAAAGGCTGCTGTAGAAAATCAAGGAAATCTGTCAGCTTGACTTTTTGCAGTGTAAATTACAGAAAATGTTTTGGTAACTCATTGCTCAAACTGTCCTGTAATCATACAGCAGAGATTTTTTGTAAATTCTTATAAAACGCCCTATTTTATTTATTTATTTATTTAATCATTCATTTTACTGTGGACACATTAAAAAAACAAAAAACTAAATATTTCTACAGTTAATAGTAACAAAAGCTCATTACTGTAGTATGAATGGCTGTGCGCAAGGTCATTATTGTTAGGAGAAGCTGTAAAATTAAAATAAAACACATGCCCCCATTTACACTTTCCAAAAATGTCCGGTGGGCTGGATCAGGGACGATTCTGGCTGCTTGGCTTTAGGTTTGACACCCCTGCTACAGATGGTTCTGTGAGTGAAACAATTTTTCACTAATATGGAATATTTCCCATGTGCCTCAAATGCTTATTGTCAGACAGATATAAAAACAGAGCTATAAAAACAGTATGGCAGTAGTTGACCAGGGCTAAATGAAAGCATGCAGCGAGTATCTCACCTTTGCCATCTGTAAAGTTGCGTATGCTGAGAATGTTGTTGGCATCCGAATAATGGTTCTGTTTAATGTAGGGAGTTTTCTCCGGCGTGTCCTGCAGCTGCATGGTCACTTCCTCCAGCTCTTTGTCCAACTTTTTACCCAGAAAAAAATGTTCTGTTAGTTCATTGAGTATTACAGTTGATCACTTAAAGTAAGTACATTCTCACTCATCACTTAACTATTGTTTCACACCAAGGTTTCATTAATTATCCACACACAGCCTAGCTTACACACTGTGAGGTTATCAGCCAGAAATGAACCTAAATTAAGGTTTGTCTGGGTGTGACTGACTGCTGCAAATGCTACTTTGCCAAAATGATGAAGAAATCTTCAAAGAAATCTTTTTTAAAGTGTAACAGAACATTTACTCTTTGTGCCCACTGCATCGGTGTCCTGTCTGAAAGGTGATGACTGGTTAAAAGATGAAAACAAAGAAGCTGTAACTGGCTGACCTCTGTTATCCTCATACGGAGGCGGTGGTTATCAGTCTGAAGGCCGTCCAGTCGAGAAGTGTTGGCTTGGTTGACGCTGGTGACTGAGGTGGAGGTCTTGGAGTCTTCTTTCTTCTGATTCTGGGTGAACTTTAATCTGCGGTTCTGGGTGGCTGCGTCTGGGTTTGTTCTCATCGTAATTAGCTGAAAGTGGAGTTATGTGCATTAGTCACAGCTGCACTCTCGCACTCTAAAATTGCATGAGTGCAAAAAAAAATCAACACCTAACTGTTTACGCTGCGTTTTCAGCTTTCAGGACTTAGCTGAGTGATAATTAAAAGCTCTAGTTTATGTCATTGCAGAGTCTTTCAGCCACGCTCACACACACACCCTCTCTGTCCTATAAAAACTGACCTTGGGAACGAAGACCAGACAGAGCGTGATGGTGCTACAAAAGATGATCACCAGCGCTACAATGCAGAACTGGACATTGGGCTGGTCCCTCGTCAGAAAAGACACCGCGGCGCCAATGATGCACATGATTCCGACGTTGTACACGCTCATTCCGATATATTTGCTATCGTTCAGAGCGGGAATGCTCACATTCCTGGTCTCCCATGCCAGAAAGCACCCAAACAGCTGTAAGAGAAGAGAAAAGGAAGAATATGAGTTATGTTTAAGAGAAGATCACACAAAGCTCTGAGAACAAATGAATGACTTTGGTCATAGAAAGTCTGGACTTGTCTTTCTCCATCAGTGACGTTTAAGCAGCTCTCATTTTCCTCCTGCTTGTTTACATTTCTGTCTGAGGTCTTTCAGAAGAATTATTCATTCTTAATTTATTTCTGATTGTTCATGGAGTGGGGGTTGTGTAATTTCACTTAGCTGAAAGCAGACAAAAATAAACTCATTATATGATGACGTGGTAAAGGGCTGAGATACAATCTAAAGAGACAGCAGTTTCACGTCTGGAAAATTTTATGTGCGAGTGAATTGTTTGTTGCAGCAGCAGCAGACTGCTGAATAATTCACAGTGAGCTGTGTAAGAGGGCTGCCTACTTATTCAAAGTCTAAATCAGAGTTTGTGGAATGACAAGCAGAAGAATTAATAGAGCGGTCATCGAGGCTTAGTGCACCTGAGGTGTGCGAGCATGTGGATGTCAGGTACGGCTGCAGTGTACTTGTATGTGTCCATATGTGAGTTTGCATGCATGTAAAAGCAGGGATGACTCAAGCCATAAACGTTTTGGTGTTGCGCTGTACCTCTCGGTGCCTCGCGGAGTTGACAGCTCCTGTCAATTACATCACTTTAACTTTCTGTACCGCTAAACTTCTTTGTTCCTGTCTTATTATTTTACAAGAAAGTCTCTTGGCTTATTCCTCTACCATCTCCTCATTCCTTCCATCTTTCCTTTTTGGGAACTTTTAGGTAGTATTTTTAGCCAGGCTACTCTTTATTCTTTCAATCTGCTTAAGATGAGTCATACATCACCAGAATCTAGCTTTTACTAACACCTAATAATGAGGAACATTTAGTACATGCTTTCATTTTCTTCAGTCTTGATTATTGCAACTCACTCCCTTTTCACATGCGTCCTTCAGCAAGCCCTAGCCCATTTACAACTGGTCCAAAATGCAGCAGCTAGGCTGCTAAAAAAAAAACTATTCAGCCCTCACACATCACTAAGCTTTTTCCCAATATTTTGGGTCTTGTTTTTCCATTTGGAATGAATGTTTGACTGTGTGTTTGTATAGCTGGACATGTGCAGCACACTTATCTTTAATGGTCTATCTCCAGTGTCTCTTTTTTTGTGGCAGGCTATACAGTTTCTCCTTCTTCATGGAGATTTTAAAGCACATATTATCTAGCTATGATAATAAGTACACATTCAGAGTTTGAAGCTCTGCTGATGAGCTTAAAGTAACACAGAGTTTTCAAATGAAATCACTGAGGAAAACCATTTAGTCTAAAGTAACTCAATATCGCTGATCCAAAAAACAAAAACAAAAAAGACCAAACAGAAATTTACTTTAATGTCTGTAAGTGTTAAATCAGTAGCAGTTAGAAAAAGAGGCAGTCAAACTCATACAAGCGCAAATGAAACAAGTAGCTTGACATATTGCAAACTGCTTGCTTTCATTCAGCTTCTCAAGAGTTAGATGAGAAACTCTGTCATATTTGTTTTCTGAAACTGTTAAGGAAAGTATAAAGTCAGGAAAAAAGGAAGCCATTATCCACTCATTTCCTCCCCCTTTTTTAATCAAAGCTTCTCCTGTGTTATTGAAGATTGTTTTCTTTCCAGGTCTTTGTATTGGAGAGAAGGGTCCTTCCTGATCCTCCACAATATTCACCTAAAGTTTTAGGGAAAAAAATCAAAATAAAGCTGAAAGTCTGCACTTCAATCACATGTTAATTGTTTGAGGAACAATCCAGTGTTGTGGCGTACAGAAGCAAAATTACAAAAATTGTGTTTTTGTCCCAATCATCTATTGCATGTCTGTCCAAAATGGAAGAGGGACTCTTGTTCCTTCTGCACTTTGCTTTGTTTTTCCTGATTAAAAGGTGTTTTACATAGACTTATTGGCAAATGTAAAGTATACACTAGAGATAGATTGCAAAAGAAAATCCAAGCCACATACGCAGACACATCTGCAGATCAATCTTTACATTTGACGAAATCCTGTTTTCTCACCATTAGTAGCCCCTTGTAGGCATAGACGATGCCCAGCCAAATGGTCATGTGGGTGTTCTCACAGTGCTCCAAGAAAGGTCGGATGGCAATGTCTCGGCCTTGGGGGTCGGCCTGTTGACAAAACAACAAATAGACAAGAAAAAAAAACTGAGTACAGCTCCCACAAAAGTACCAATCTCATCCCAGAGATTGAAACATTGCTGTTAACTCATAACCGCCTGGTTATGATTAGGAAAAGATTGCTGTTTTGGTTCTTTCAAAACATTAACCCGACATGTTTGAAGACAACATTTAACTGTGACGGCAAGGCGAGTGCCACCCACTTTGCTATTGCATTGACAAACACTGTCACTGGAAGAAATGATAAAACCAACAGAGAAACACTCTAAATAAGCTCTAAATAAAGAAAGCCCTCAGTGAGCCTTTCGGCTGTTCTCACATTAGTTTTCGATTTGTGGCTTATTTCACAAAGGAAATACAGACTATCCAATGCTCCTGCAAATTCAGGGTGTCTGTGATCAGCTATCCAGGTGTGAAATCAAACTGTTTCCCCATCACGGCCACTGGGCCTCTCCAAAGTCAGCTAAAGTTAAATTAATCTGTGCTTAGGATGCTAATGGGTACAACTAATGAAGCTTATTCATTAATGTGATTTACACCTCCTCCTTTCTTTCTTGTTTCTCACTCAGTCTCCGTCACGCTATCTCTTAATCCTGCCATCGTCTCTCCGTTCCTTCCAGCTTTCTCTTCGCTTCCACTTGTCTTTCGCCACAGCTCATGACACGAGTGACTTGCAGAGCAAATTAGCACCTGTGGTGGATATTAATACGCTAAAACACGTCACCTCCCCTTTCCCTTTTTCCCCTCTCGCTACCTTTGAAAAGCCTTTAATAAGAGCATTAGCTTGGCTGCATGGACTCATCTGAGGCCACTCTAATATATCAACTGTGAGACACCTGGGGCGAGGCCGGGCACAATGCCATGATGCTCTCCAGGTGTGTGCATGTTTAGTATTCGCAATTAGACATGTCTAATGTCTCAGCAGATGGTGTGTGAGCGTATGTGTGTATAAGCAAACCCAATAACATTTTTCACGAAACGTAGTCTATAATCGAAATTCCTGGGAAACAAAAAAAGAAGAGTAAACAAAGGGAAAAGAAATACACTGAAAAGATTGCCTCGTTTCCATCCTCATACCTATGACACTGTACTTTTTATTAATGCTCTCAACCATTCACAAATGCACACCTACACATACACACCCCAAAATACCTTGTGCACTTGTCATTCTGACATGAATATTCTCCATTCAGCTTGCATTAATGGAGATTACAGCTATTCATGCCTCCCTTCATGACCTTGATGAATTTATATTAGAGGTTCTCTATAGGATGATGGCTTAAAATGGGAAATTGGTGCTTAAAAAGGTGCCCTGACTCACCCGAAAGAAAGAAAAGAAAGGAAAATGGGCCCATAACACATCATTTCTGGGTATCCTTGGCGAGTTATATAGTACAGTTTCCTAGCTTTTATTCCCATGCCTCTATCGTAGAAATACAACTTCCACAGTGTTCCCTACTCAGCTTCTCTTCACTGCTCTTTCTGTTTCAAATGTTCAGCTCTGCACAGGATTACATATGCAGTTAGTTAAACATTGCAAACAGTTTGCAAAAAAAAA